CCACCAGGAATCTTCGCACCTACGCCAACTTCGAGCTCAGCCAGCACGTCCGGCCCGCCAGGTCTTTCGCCCGATTCAGCAGGTCCGTCTGCTTCGTTCAAGTTTCCTGCGTCGCCTCCTTTGGCACACGCCGACCACATGCCGCTCGCGGCACCCCAGCCCATGCAGCCATTCCCACGTCTTACCTCGCCGCAGCCCGGTGCCGAGCCAGGCTCGCGATCCGGCGGCCGTTCGCCTTCGCCCACCAAGCGATCCTTCAACTTCCCCATGGGCGATCCCAGCGAGCGATGGCACTCGATCGGGCAGGCGTCGAACAATGCCACCCGCGCCCCCAACAGCACAGCGCAACGAAAACAGTCGATCCATTCCGGCCTTACCGCGGCGAATGCTTCGGCCGAACCTTTCCTTGGCTACAATGAGCTCTTTTCGCCCAATGGCTCCAACCTCCCCGCATCCGAGGCGTCCAAGAGCGCCAATGCAGCCGCGCTCTCCACCTCGGATCCCATGAACGTCGCCTTCCACTCGGGCTCCAGTGCCGATTCGAGAGGCTTCTCGCTGTCGTCCAGCCATGACCAGGACGTCCACCCTCACCGATTCGGATTGTCTCCCGGCCACTACCCTGCATCGGCACGAGACGAAGGCTCGCAGATGGGCGGTCATCCTCGCAGCATCGGCCATGACGACTTTGGCCCACGTCCGTCGTACGCAGTCGGAGGCCTCGGCGGCGGTGCAGGCGGCCCGCCAGGAATGCTCGGCATGCCACCCAACGCCGGCAACCTCAGCCCGCGCAGTATGATGCAGCTTCAGCATCACCACATGCAGATGCAGTCCCAGCAGCACCAGCACCAGTCACAGCAGCAGCTTCTGACAGGACTGCAACATCAGCAGCAATCGCAACAACAGCAGCAGCAGCCACCAACACAGCAGCAGTTTGGCCTCCAAGCCGGCATCGGCAACGCCGCCAGTCTCGCAGCGCCGGGCGGCCCGGCAGAGGAAATCACCACCGTCTTCATCGTCGGCTTCCCCGATGACATGTCCGAACGTGAATTCGCAAATATGTTCCTCTTCGCCAAAGGCTTCGAGGCGTCTACACTCAAGATTCCCGCAGGCCTCGGCAGCGCAGCACCGAATGGCCGCGTGCCCGATGTCAACGGTCCCCTTCCAAGCGGTCCAGGAGGCCCGTATCAGTCCGTCAATGTGCCCGGCTTCGACCCAACCGGCGGCATGGCGCTCGGCTGGGAGGATCAGAACCTGTCACTCGGCCTCAACCGTGCCGGCGTGAACGATGCCTTCTCCCCCTTGGCTGGTGTGCCGGGTATGCCAAATGCCCTGGGCTCTGCCAACAATCAGTCGGCGATGGCAGCCGGTAAGATCAAGCAGATCATCGGCTTTGCCAAGTTCCGCACACGCGCCGACGCGCTCGAGGCACGCGATGCGCTCAACGGCCGCAAGGTAGATGCAGAGAAGGGATGTGTGCTCAAGACCGAGATGGCCAAGAAGAACCTCCACACCAAGCAACGGCCCGTTCTGGTAGCGCCCGGCTTCCCAGAGGGAGCCAGCGGACCCTTGCCTCCTTCGTCGAGTGTCGGCGGACCGCCTCCACCCTTTGCCATTGGCGGACCTTTTGATCCTCGCGCAGGCCAGCAGCTTAACGGTCCGCCGTCGCAGGCGGGTCCGTTTGGCGCGTTTGCAAAAGGCCCCGGCGGCTTTGAGCCGTTCACCGCCAACGGACCCAGTACTACCCCTGGTGACCTGCTGTCGCCGCACGAGATGTTTGGCGGCCCCGACTTCTTCAGCCCTGGGAACAATCCAGCGCTACGTTCGTCTATCGGAGGCACCAGCGTCATGGACCACCCGGGTCGATCCACCGGCCCGACGCCGGCGTCGCAGACACAACAGCAGCAATCGCAAGGCTCGGCGGGCCCAGAAAAGTGGGGTGGCCCCATGGGCCCCATCGACTACTACGGGCCCGAGAGTGGGCCAGGCCCCATCGGAGCGCCGGGGCGAGGTCTGCAAGGCGGTCCGGCTTCGAGTCTACAGGCCCAGAGCGGGGCGCAGAGACCCGAATGGCCCGCGGTAGGCTCTCCGCCGCCAGGTCTTTACGGCGCCGGTGCATCCGCTCAGCGACCTCCCTTCGCCAGACAGGGCTCGCGCGGTGTCGGTCCTATCGGCGGCGCCACTCAGGACCAAGGTCCGGGTACTGGCGCCACAACGAGCAGGTCTGACGAAGGCGGCAAGGTCGAGAATATTCATTCGAACTCGCCTCCTTCCTCGGCGAGCCCAGAGGACCCGCAGCAGCAACCAGCTTCGGTCGTCACGCGCTTTGGCTCGCTCAAGCTCAACTCTCCGCCTTCAGGCGATGATGGGCCCGCAGCGGCTGGAGTGCGACCGCCGCAGCAGGCGCCGAGTCCGGATCTGCCCAGTCCGACCGGCCGCAATGTGATTGGGGACAACCATCCTCCCGTCAACACGTTGTTCGTCGGCAACCTTCCGAGCAACGCCTCGAGCGCGGTGCTTTCGCAGATCGAGGACCAGCTCAGAGCGGTCTTCAGCAGCTGCCGTGGCTTCCGCCAGTTCTCGTTCCGGCTCAAGTCCAACGGTCCGATGTGCTTTGTCGAGTTTGAAGACGTGCACACGGCGTCCAAGGCCATGTCGGAGCTCAACGGCCACTCTTTGGGCGGCGCCATCAAGAACGGAGGCATCCGGCTCAGCTTCAGCAAGAATCCGCTTTTCCGCATGAACTCCAACTCGGCCATGTACTCGGCTGCCAACGGCGTGGGCGGCGGCAATGCAGGATCGACAGCGTCCCAGGAGGGCGGTGCCAACGCTCCGCTCAGCCTGGGCTCGGCGAGCGAGACCCTTGCGGCCACGCGTCGATGATGCCGAAATCCGAGGAAATTTTTTTTGCGGCGCTCATTTCGATTCCGGCTCCCGCGCCTCCACCCGGCTTTCTTCCTGACCAGCATCATCCATCCTGCACCGACGATTTGCGCGCTTCACCATGGCGACGGCTTCGGACGCGGTCGACTTTGACTTGGAGACGGTCAACAATGTTGAGGAAGCGGCGTACCAGGACGGCTACCAGCAAGGCTTCGACCACGGCGCGCTGCACGGGACGTTCGAGGGGCGTGGACTCGGGCGCGAGAAGGGCTTCGAGCTTTGGGAGGAAGTGGCTTTCTACCAAGGCTTGGCCAAGGTATGGAAAGAGTGCCTGGAGCAAGCCGAAGCGGCCGGGCACGCCTCGCGGAAGCAATCCAAGCAGCTCCAGCACCTGGCCGGGCTCGAGAAGCTCATCTCGTTTTTTCCCACCACCAATACGTCGGAGCCCTCGACGGATCTGCGTCCGACCGAACCTACGGATGAGGTTGGGGAGGAAAGCGAGGATGCCGAGGCCGAGACGACGAATGACGACGAGCTCGCCAAGCTCGACATGCTCGCATTGCTGGAGAAGATCCGAGCCAAGTACCGGCTGACGTGCTCGGTGCTGGGAATAGCGCCACAGCGAGCGCCGTCACTGGCGCAGATCGGCCGTAGTCGCCAGGACGACGAATCCGACAGCGTCGCGCGAGCGGAGAGCAAGTCGGTGCTGGTTGCTGGCAAGTTGGTAGACCCAACGCAGCTCAAGTACTGAGGGTGCTCCGTCTTCTTCGTCCCCATATACCCTTGTCGCGCCGTCTTGGCCCGTCTGACGGCGCCGTCGTGGCCTCCTCGACTCGATCCCTGGAACCTTTTCAGTGCGTTTTCTCGTGCTGCATACCCTTGGCCGCGTGGCCTCCCTCGACCCTCTCCGCTCTGTATTCTGTCTCTTCACGATCGTATCTTGCTAGCTCGGCATGGCCTGCCGCTCTCGGCTCTTTCGGAACCACCCTTTGTCCCCGCATACGCTTTTCTTCAGTTTCAGACTCGGCCCTCTCTCTCTCTCTCTCTGTCTCTTTCCATATCTTAGTTTGTATCGCAGGGAACGGCTTTGCCACATATGTATCTCAGTGTCACGGTCAATAGCAGTGCAGTTTCTTTTTCCCGTCTCGATCCCGGGCGCAGCGTGTGGACATTACTTGAGATCGTGTGGATGATCGTGGGAGGGGGGAGAGGATAGGGAGCTGGGGATGTGGTGATGGATTTCGGCCGAGAGGATTGGGCCCCCCGGGGTGGGGGGGGGGGGGGG